AATGTAGTGTACCAAGCCCATGCATCGCCCCAGAAACAACGGGACATACCGAGGAAAAGACATCTTTCTCTCGGTGACAGCCCTGCTATGTGCTACTACTGTTGGTCGTCTGCGCACGGAAGTTTGCTCATGCCATTCGTTTGGTGGTACAAAGAGATGGTTTCAGCATCGAGACCACCCCGCAGCCGCACGTCCAGCAGTCATATATTCAGCAATTTGAGTTCAAAGTGGCGGACAAGCTTTAAGGTGCGAGGTTGCACAGCACAGACTGTTGAAAGTTGCTGAAGCCGAACAACGTGCATTATGACAATGTCATTCTCCGAAATAAGAAGCTCCCTGTATAATTGTGTAAAATGCGTATATAAGCCCCTCCACAGTTTCGAGAGGCAGTGTCCCTGTTTCTCTAGCAGTCCATTATCTCTTATTCTCATCCACCGTGCTTGACTCGATTGTACGGTGCCACCGCAATTATCGCTACAACCGAATGTCTCACCAGGCAGATATCATGCCCAGGAAACTTGTTGAGCGCCGCAACCGTATTACCTATCCGTTATCAGTCACTCAGCTCGACCAGCGGGATCTGACTTCGATCATCGAGATCCTCCTGATTGATAGCGAAAAGGATCGTGCGAAAGTCGCGTACCTGGGCCAGTATCGAGGCTATAGAACGTCTAAGAACATCAAAAATGGGATTCAGAATCTCCGATGGCAACTGCAAGCAAACGCCTTGTTCCGATTGCTCTTCGGGCCCTCCAAGATCATCCTCTGTGAGGTGCACAAGGGATTTAATCCCTGGATTATCCACAGCCTCTTCGAATTACTGGTCAAAGAGGTCACATCGTTCTTGGATGAGCTGTACTGGTTCCTGGAGTATCTCAAAGACGATGTCAAGGAGATGCTGCGCACTCTTAATTCTATTGCCGGCATGTGGTGGTGTCCTAAAAGCAGGCACGACCTTCCTCCTTTCCATGCGAGGTATTACCAAGAGAACCGTTGCGAGGCGTGTATGCTTGCGCGTGTTGTTACTAAGGCTCCCGATCTGCAGAATCTTCACGCCACGCTTTTGAGTCGCGCAAGAGAAGATAGGTCTGAAAAACACCCTGAGCTTCAAAAGTTCGTTGAAGTAGCCATCAGTACATCCGGATTTACCCCTGATATGCTTCGAGATGGCATGGAATTGGCAGCCAGAGCCAGAGCAGCCCGAAAGGCAGCACGCAAATTCGCGAGAAAACAAATGAAGGGGCCAAGACCAATGCGCTATAAAGGGAAGAAGAAGAAGAGATCCCATTGTATAACCATCCAGTTGAAAGCAGAAACGCCCGAGGAAGCGGAAAAAGAGCGAAAAGAAATCTTGGAGATGTTGGCACGTCTTAAAGGCGAGCCCTCCGAAAAGCTGGACGATCTTGCTAATGACATGGTTAGAGAATTCAAGTGCGACGTGGAACGCACAGTCGATGCTAAACATGAGAAGCTCCCAGACTATGCGGACAACGAGCAAGTGCCAATGCCTGCACCTAGCCATCATCGTGTTAGTCTTGTGAGTGAAGCGGAAGTCAGCGATTGTCTATCGGAAAACCCGAGCATCAACGGCGAAGAAACGGACATGACGCCTGCACCCAGCTACCATTCTAACCTAAACGGTGTTGGGTCACAAGAGCCTCCGGTCGTAGGTGCCAACAGCTTGAATAGCACGACGTATTGTCCGCCCACAGTTGCGACTGGATCATCCAATACAGACCAAGCGACTGATATTCGGTCGCGTCTCGGTGACGATGAACCCATACTTTCTATTATCGAGGAGGCTCGCAGAAGTAGCGACAGATTGCCGGTGGAGGCCAAGAGCAATGGATCGGCAATCCCTCGACTCATGCCTGATACGCCAGGGAAGAAATCGGTGAAGTTTGCAGCGCCCAGACATGTTGCACCTGTGCATGGGAGCCGCCTGCCCCAGAACTTCTTGAGGTTCAGAACGTCGTCATGATCGTGTCACTCGAGTTGCTGAAATTTGCTCCATGTTCGTATAACGTTATTTCAGGCGCACCCCATAATCCGCGATTACTCAGTTTGCTGTAAGCCATCAGAATGTGGTAGAAGTGAAATTTATACAGATTATTTAGTAAAGACTTAAATTGAGTGGAATGAACAGAAGGGAAGTGCTCGTCAATTTCCAAATCTCCGTGGTCATGCAGGATGCCCGATTAGTAGATAACCCGAACAGTAGGTAGGTGGGTGAAAAGACATTGTACAGGTCCGTAGCAGGTTGTCATCAACCTGGCTATTAATACAGCGTAAAGAATAATGCAGTGAACAGACAGCGAAGTAGGAAGTAGGAGACGTCCCGCAACTCCAAAGACCCCCGCTGGGCGGCGAAGACAAAAGGTGACGAATAAATTATTACAACGAATTATGAAGGCAAAAAGAGTTGACTATAGGACGCTGCTGGCGACGGGGTGGTTCACGCTTCGGAAACCATCGACATGAGGAGAAAGAGTGACGGTCTTTCTGCGGCGAGAGCGAGTGGACTCTGCCGGTCCTTCTTGGGGAACAGCTGCAGGAGTGACACTCCCGGATGCCGGAGTATCAGCACCCGAATTGGTGGCGGAGCTAGCATCGTTGTCAAGCTGCTTCTGAGCAGATTCACGGGAACGTTCGTAACGTAATTTGACATCGCCTTTCCACTGAGTACCGAACCAACGATCCCAGATTGTGAAGAAAGGCTGCGAAAAGTTCGTCTTGATTCCCCAGCTCTGGTGGTGAATATCATGGTAAGCGGCATTGTTGGATGTGAAATGCTGCAGCGGATCCCAGGGGAAAGCATAGCCGCAGTGATCGTCAACCGTTTTGATGGTGGAAAAGGTGAAGAACCACATGCTCTGGCGAGTCGACATCCGGGCTGTCAAGAATGCGACGCCAGTGCCAGCAGTATCGAGAAGGAATCCTTCAACGGGATGGTTGTAAAGAGCGCCGAAAGCATAGGGAACGTATAAGCGATGGTGGCGGGAGTGGAAGGTCACTGGAGACTGTCAATCGATTGCCCAAAGCCGGAATGACTCGAAGAAACTATGACTTACCATAAAGCCACCGGTTCAAATGCATCGCGCGGTGCAGGAAGTACTGCCAGGTATCGACGACGCAAACGCCCCAGATGAACTGCAACGCGGGGACGAAGAACCAGTAGATGAATCCAGCCGTAGAAAGTTCCCAGTTGGTGAAAGCAGGGACCACCGCTTCTGCGCCACTCTCCAGAATAAGGGACTGGGTAAATTGTGGGTAATGCCCGCCTGCAATGGCGCCTCCAAGCATTCCCCAGCCCTTATGCGACAAATTCTTCCCCAAACCCATAGCATCAATACCAAAGAGAGCCAGCAGGTGAGGCAGGCCCCTTTGCATGAGGCGAAGACGGCGAGCCCAAACTGCCACATCATATGCTTCTTTACCCAGACATTCGGGCTCATCCAAATAGCTCACTGCCATGCCCGCGATTGTCTGGACTACTTGCTGGAGCAGAACATCTCTCACTACTTCCCAGCGCGTGACTCGGTTTCGCTTCAACACCTCCGCGGGGGTGTGTAGGCGGTATTGAGGGAAGTAATCGTTGACATCGATAAAGTGATATACCATGGACAAGGCCCAGTAAGCAACGATGGGTAAGATCAAAGCGAGGATATTGTCGGGGATCGGAGCAAGAACCGGTGGGCGGGGAGTCAAGGTATAGGTCGGAAGAGGGGGGAGGTCAAAGACGACCGACGCGTTGGTAGCCATGATGGGACGAGGAATATCGATCGCCAGGACTATGCAAGTCAAGAATTGGGAAAGGTTATTCGACAGACCTACCGCATCGGTCGCGGAGATCAAAGACGGAAAGGAGATTCGAATGAAAGAGAAATGAGATCGCAATCACAGTCGGATGCAAGTAGGGCAGTGAGAGGTTCCTGGCGCAGGCCAAAGATATAGCAGGAGATTTAAGGGCCCGTGGGACAACGCAATGATTATGGACCGGCGATGGCGAGATATCTGATCGGGGATCCTGGTCAGGTCAAGGCCCACCAAAATCAGGGGACGCAAATGGCACCAAGTGCCGAGGAACCGATGGGGTAGTGGTGAGGGATTAATTAGGAGGGAGGGTTCAAAAAGAATGACCGCGAGGTTCAGATTACCATCGACTGTAGCAGTAGTCAAGGAATCCGACACCGGGATGAAGAAGATAACAATAGTTGAAGGCCGGCCAAAGGAGTGTCTACCGCGAGTTGGAAGGTCAAGACGGAGAGAAAAGTCACGGGTGGAATTGGCAAGCAGGAGTGGCGCCACGGGATCGTGAGGCCGACCGATAGCTGCACGATGTTGTACTGGTATGTATTACATTATATGATACCACTATTCAGTATGATGTTACTATGAAAGATAATTGTTATGTATCAGTAATATACCGCTGTATGTTACCGACAGAAGACCCCTTAGCCACAGTGATTATGCCTCAGGCACAAGAATATCTGGAGTGGGAAGATTGGATGCCGGAGCCCAACTGACATGTCAGCCGAGCTAGAATAATACTACCCCAAGTCCCCAACATCTAACTACAGAGTAAAACAAATTCCCTTACAGTAAAGGATTGATGCCGCCGTAGTCTGGACTCACAACCTTGTCCTTCATTTTCTTTTTTGCCTCAATTTTTTTTTTCCTCATCGCCTGTCAGAATTTGCCATCGGGGCAATGGACGAAAAAAGACAACAAAAAAAAAGATGATTGGGATCTCTCTTTTTGGGCCAGACGAGTCGACCAGACCCAAACAGGACTAGCGGCAAGCGGTGCCCCTCGAGCGACGGAAAATCGACCGTGAAAAAAACCCCACCACGAGAAACTGGAAAGGAAAAGCGCCACTAAATATTAATCTTCATTTTTCCCCTCCTTCCCCTTCTTCTCCTCTTCCCTCCGTCTCTCTCTCCTCACCTGCCACTTCTCTCCTCTTGTGACTTTGTCCACTTCTTCATACACCCGCCAAAATGATCATTTACACGGTTCGTATACCCTTCTGAGTCTACCTCTGTCCTTGTTGCGATCCTCCAGCAATGCAAGGATGCGTGAAAAGAACAACAAACGGTTGCATCAATCCTGCAGCCTTGTTGCGTCTCCTCTGCTTCCTTACCTGCAACCATTTTCATCATCATTATTATCATCATATCCTCTCATTTGAAATTTGCATGCCTCTAAATTACTGACGTCCGTCCTTATAGGATATCGTCTCCGGCGACGAGGTTCTCGCCGACACCTACAAGATCCAGGAGGACCCCGAGAGCAAGCTCCTCTGGACCTGCGACTGCCGCAAGTACCTCAAGAAGAGCAACGAGGACTTCCAGCTCGAGGGTGCCAACCCCTCCGCTGAGGGCGGTGATGAGGATGCCGGTGGTGAGGGTGAGGCCGTCATGGTCCACGACATTGAGGACCAGTTCCGTCTCAACTGGCTCAAGACCGAGGAGGGCCTGAAGCCCTCCAAGGATGCCTTCAAGGGTCACCTCAAGAGTATGTTCTCGCACTTCTGAGATACGGTTCAGTTATTTCACCCCAATGCTAACGAGTCTACCCTGTACAGGCTACGTCAAGAAGGTCCTTGCCAGGCTCACCGAGACCGGTGCTTCCAAGGAGACCATCGATGAGTTCAAGGCTGGTGCCGCCGGTGCTGTCAAGAAGATCCTTGGCAACTACGACAACTACGATGTTATGATGGGTCAGTCCATGGACGGTGATGCTATGTACGTTTATTCTGCCATCCATCTTCTGGTTGCAACTAAAATTAACTTACCGAACCAGGCACATCCTGATTGACTTCCGTGAGGACGGTGTCACCCCCTACGCTACCCTCTGGAAGCACGGTCTCCAGGAGGTCAAGGTCTAAATTCAGACACTGCAGTCATGCGAATAATTGTTGTCATGAATTGAAAAAGAAAGAGAAGAGACACTGAAAATGCGATCTCTTAATACGAGCAACCAAGGGTCCCCGGAAATTAGCTGTCCAGGAGTTTGGACTCCTGGGTTCCCGCTAACGCGTCCCTTCTGGCTATTGCTAATTATCTTTCCCTTCGCATCTTGATATCACATCATGCTCCTGCGTCGCATATCTTCTGCGTCCTTCTTGATTAAAGTCACGCCTCATGAAATCCATAACTGTTACGTCTTCTTTTATTTCTGATCACATATTATTCCATCGTCTAGCGGTTCTTCCGTTTGACACATAATCATCTTCCAACCTCAAGACACTGAATCCAGTTGTAAAAGTAGATCTCAACCTCAAAGATGAGTTCAATCAAAAAAGTAGAAGACTAGAACCGCTATATACACAATAATCGAGAACTGAATTTATACCCTCCAACCAACCAACCAAACACCTCCAATTAGACATACATTAAGTACTAAGTAAATTAACAGTAACCAACCCAATCAGCCCCCCTCACCTCCCCCATCCCAACCTCATTACCACCACCACCACTACCACTACCAACATTCCCAAAACTACCCCTCCCCACACCACCACCACCAAGCCCCATCCTCGAAGGCGAAGCAGCAGCATTAGCATAAGCCGCACTGCTCAAATCCCCAAACTCGAATCCCGTGACCGGATCCAACTCCATCAACTCATCCGCCACCGGCAGATGCTGCCCGAAGACAGCGTCCCACTGGTCCCAATCGAAGTTTAAGTTCGGATCCACCATTGAGGGCGGTGTGGGGGCCCCCGGGATGGGTTGGCTGGTGGGTGAGATGGCTGTGTCCATGAAGGAAGGAAGAGGAGCTGCTTGTAGAGCAGGAGGAGGAGGGGGGGTATTAGTTGGTAGTTGTGGTGCTTGCTGCGGGGTGTTGTTGAAGGTACTGGCGAAGATGTTAGGGTTCAAGGGGGCGATGCTTTCGGGGGAAGAGATGGGGGAGCCGCTGGCCAGGGGGGAGGTGGTGGTGGCTGTAGTGTCCATGGGGTACTTGGGGGGTGTTGGGGATTGAGGGAATGGAGGAGGGACGGTTCTTGATTGCGGGCTTGGGAGGATGGGCGTAGGGGCTGGAGGGGGGAGTTGATAGCGGAGAGGGCTTGGACGGGAGTTAGTATTAGTGGTAGCTGGGTTGGGGAGTTGATGGGAGCGAGTCATGTTGTAGAACATTTTGGAGAAGTCGTTGAGTTGGCGGCGGGTGGTGACGGGAGGAGGATAGGTTGAGGGGGAGGGACTGCCGCTGGTGTAGCAGGGGTCGTTGTTGGCGTAATCTTCGGGGAGAGAGGTGACGCCTGCTTGGATCTGGGCTTGTTCGGACCATAGTCTGTGAGGATCCAGGCCGGCTTTTTGCCATGCTTTTTGGCGTAGGCGTCGGATCATGTCCCATGCTTCGCGGCCGCCGTCTTTCAGGGGTCGTTGGGTTGAGACGCCGTCTTCGCCGCCGACGACGCCGCCGTCGGGGCCTGTCATGGAGAAGATCTTGTCGATGTAGGCGCGGGATTTGGGGGCCTCTGGGCTGTAGGGTCGTTCGTAGAGGTCGATGAGCATGATCATGGTCGCGTGCATCGGTTGGTGATTGCCGGGCCAACTCCATTGGAAGGGTTGGAAGTCGGGGTCGGTTGCGAGTGAGACAAACTTCTCCATGAATCCGTGACAGTGGCGGAGTGCGCTGTGGTTTGTTAGTGGTCTCTGTCTTGGGTTCTGGATGGTGATGTTGGACAATACCTCTGTCTTGCAGCCGGCCAGATTCGACTTTTGGCGTTCTTCAGGAAAGGCTGATAAGCGACGCAAAAAGCCTGACAGGGTTAGCAGGTATCAGAGTAGATCTCAAGGTCCACCCACTTTATCGATGAAAAGAGACATGAGGATCCTAGCCCATTTGTGGAAGGATACAAGGACAGGCGAATGGTATTGCTCTGCACATCCATTGGGCCCATCCGCCGGCAGTTCGGTGCGAGAATCCGCTTGTGAGGATAAAGACCATGATCTAGTAGATGACACTGGAGACGAAGTATCGAGCGAGTTTGCTTCTGGTATCCGGTTGATAATAGAGTTCAGCTTGTACTGCAGATCGACCAATATCGACCTCAGCTCCTCCATGTCCCTTCGCGTGACGGGTTTTGTACCAAGCTGGATCTTCATGATCCGGCGAACGGCGCCTGCAGGGTTGTTAGATCTCGTAACCTATAGACGTTTACTTCGGATACTTACGAGCCATCGTATACTTGCCCTTGGCCGATAGGTAGTACACGTTAACCATAGAAGGTCCTCCACATACGGTTGGGTCATCGGGGTTATCCGGTGGCCTCATGCCGGTCATGACAAGTCTCTCATATTTCTCAGCAGCGGGAGTTCCAAGAAGCGTGTCTTTAACCTCGCTGGTCTCGCGAACATCCCAGTAGTTCTCATCACTGACCAGGGGAGGTAGACCGCTAGACATGGCCACCACACCGTCCATGTGTACAATGTGCCACCATATACGGCGACGGTATTCTGCGTCACTGGGGCCAATGCCAAACTTAGCAGGATCCCGATGCAAACCCATAGTCTGAGCCACCCTCATGGCAAGACTGATGAAGAGACTACTAGTCAGAGGCTCTTCCTCCTTGGAAAGGATGGTCTGGACCAGCAGATATGCAGATAAACCTTGCATGGACGGACTGCGAGGGAACGATATCTTGGATAGCCAGCGCGTTACCTCCTCACTATATGCCTTAGACAGACCTGAGCGGGATGTCACGTTGAACTCAGCCTTGATTGTTCGTATTGAGACAGTGACGGAACCGCCATACCAGATGGCATAAAGCAAAGGGATGAAGGATGGGTCAGGGCAAGACTCCCCAGAGTAGCTGCTTGAATCATACCAATCCCAGAAAGAGTTGTAAAGCTTCAGGATGGTAGGCGGGTGCACAACTGGGGTAATGGCGTGTATGCCAGACATGAATCCTTTGTACAGGATATGGCTCTGTCGTTTTGTCGGCATATTCTCAAGCATTTCTGGCTCCACTATCTTGTCATTCACGGAAGGTGATTCGCTTGACGGAAACAAAACAGACTTCTGGAATGTCTGTACTCTGCTAAGCTTCTCGGCGGGCTCGCTGACACCGTCAGCCGACTCTTTCCATTGGCGTCCCGGTGTTGTAACCATAGGTTCCGTTCCAGCATCGTCAACGGGGCTCTCATTGAAGGCTGGTTCGTTGTGCGATCGATTCTGATCCCTGAGCAACTGATTGAGCTCATTTATCTGGTGATACTTAGCATGGTCCTTCAATGAAAGGCTGGAGACTTTTGAACATACCTCATGAGAAATATAAGCCCAATAAGTCGTCCCGACGTATCTAACCCATGGTCAATATAGAGTCCTCCCGACTACAAAACAATACCATACCTTGATCGCCCTCCATCCTCCAAGCTCAGATGGCCAAGATTCAAGCTCCCCACGGGATCCACCAAATCAGTAGCATGGCCCGCGGGTATAGGAAATTCATCGCCACTAGACTCAGCTGCGCGACGCGGACTATCCGAGCGGGAACCAGCAGCCGGCTTCAAGGCCGCAATATTGCTCAAACGAGGATCACCCTCAGCCGGCTCGAGTTTCACATTTGGAGCCAGCCGTTGCTTTCCTGCGACATCCAGCGGCTGGTTCGTCTTGCTCAGCCTCTCGATCATCGAGGTGAGTTTGTCCAAACGCGCCTCAATGGCTTGCGACCGTTGCTCGGAAGCTCCACTTTGCTTCAAATGACCGTATATGGATTGTATATCATCAATATCCTCCTCGATTGGTCGCGACGACTCCCTCCTCCGCTTGACGCCATGTCCGTTCTTCGATATGCTCGAGCGCGACTCCGTATCCTTCTGTGGCGCCGCATCGTAGACACATTCGGTACCGTTTTTCACGCAGTTGCCGCAAATCGGGTGGACCTACAATTTTGCTTATCAGACCAGTTCAGGATTCACAAGCAGTCTAGGGATATGCACCTTGTCGCATTTGACCTTTCGCCTCCGACAAGTGTGGCAGCTGTAGCTGGCGCGATTGCGGGTGATTTGACGGCTTCCAGCCTTCCCAGTCTTGGGAGCAGCAGAGGACGAAGAGCCTGAGGCAGGGGAGTCGTAGCTAGAGCGAAATTGGGGTCGGGGGGTTCCGTTCATCTGCCCGTAGCCGGGCAGAATGCTCGGTGGGCTTGTATTCATGGTCCGTCGGTCGCAGTGGCGGGGTTCTATGATCCATCGACAGGACGTAAGGAGGGGTTCATGAGGGAGTGCGCATGAGTGTCAACCCATGTATGTGAGTCGCGACTATTCAGGTGCCGATCGAACAATTGTGCACTTGATGGGTAAAAGATAATAGAGGCAACCGCGCAGTGATTGAAGCTGAAGCTGAGTGGAACAGCGGCGGAGGATGACTCTGGGGTAAAAGAGGCCGCGGTTCTACTTATCGGCGATTGCGCCGGCTCGGCCAATGACAGCGACCATATACGCAAGACGGCCGGATGGTCCTCCCGAGAAATTCGGAGTGACTTGGATTGTTCCATGATTATTTACTGAGAGGTGTGAGGTCTTACAGAGCATGGTCTAGGTACGCTATAGTTTTTTTTTTTTTTTTTTTTTTTTTTTTTTGGAATGATCTCCGCGGAATAAAGTAGAGAAGCTACAGCTGCCATCCACTGCGGAGACGGAAGATGGCACCTATCAACCACATCCAATACCACAATCCAGACATGTCCCCACTCATTGATCATTTCATTCGACTTGGTATCAAGAGAACAGCAGAGATGCCCTCTATACATGAATCATCATAACGCCTTTCGCCCGTGCCAATGCAATCAAAAGCCTATGTACCACATGAAGAAAACATCGAGAAGTGCTTCACGCCTTGCCCTTCTTCTTATCCTTCTTCTTCTTTTCGCTGCCTCCAGCTGACGGACTTCCACCCATCCCTCCCATTCCTCCCATTCCTCCCATCATTCCCGCCAGATCCGGCATTCCAGGTATCTGGGGCATGCCGGGCATACCCTGCATGTTCTGCATTTCAGCCATGGCGTCCTTGAGCGGGTTATCGCTGACTCCACCACCACTGTAGGCCGGAGAGTGTATCGGCAAAATCTTTCCAATCTTCCATCCACGGGGGGCGGCGGGCGCGGCAGGTAGTTTCTCGGGCATGGGGAGTCCTCGGATTCTGAGACGGTAGGGGGATTCTTCGGTGGTAGGGTGAGCCTTAAGGTATTGCGCCACGAGGATGTAAAGGTGGTGTTCTGTAGTTATGGTTAGACAAAGAAAACTGCAATCAAGCCATATCAAAAGGGGTCGACTCTGATGGTAACCTGCGAACAGGTTGGGGTACACTGACTGTTCTTGATTCTCGAGTTGACCAGCTTCCCGTCCTCGTTCTTCAGCAGGACACGCACACGTCCCGGGTTGGCCCAGTCCTTGGGATGCAGCTTCTCAGGCTCGAATCCGACATTCAATCCCAACATCTGCACCGCATCGACAATGTCCCTCGCTAACGGATTCTCAACCGCCAGCTCACTTCCAACCTTGCGGCCCTCCGCGCGGGACCGCGACTTGTCGAAGTATATCGGGTACAAGCATTGATAATGCTTGGGGATCTCGCGCTGGGGTTCAGGAGCGGGCCTCATGGGTACTGAGCCGGACATGGGCACTCCGGCTCCAGAAAGGATGGACTCATTGGCGAAGTTGGCGGGCGAGGAATCGGAGGGAGCAACTTCCTCCGGGTCAGAGTCGTACACCTCCTCTACTTGGGCGTGTCGTGACATGATTAAAACTCAGTATAGGTAATAATAACAGCGTAGAAAAATATGTATAAGATTAAGACACGCTAATGTGTCCGGAGCGGAAGGTTGAGCAGGTGGGCTGTTGTAGTGAAGCCGTGGTGGCCTTTCTGTGCGGCAGGGAGTTTTAGTGGCCAACCAACTGCGGAGCGGAGAGCTTTGTCCGCCCACCGCCCGCATCGCAGCGGAGATACCCATCATTACTACATGCAGCCCTTGATTTGCTTCTGAGCAACTGCTCTATTATGTACCAAACAAACCTTACCTTTGTCTGCTGCAGTTGATGCACATGATAATGTCTTGAAGTTATCGCTCTAATAGGTCCTACACGCCGAGCCTTACTTCCCACATCGCCTATCCGGGCTCAAGGGTTACGATGTGTTAGGCCAGCTTTCTACCTCCATGACACCCGCAGTTCTGCCTGGACACTAATTAGGGTTGACAATGAAAGAGATATCCCAGAAAGGGATCGACTTCGGCATAGAGGGCATCGTAGAGCACCAAGAGAGGATGGCATAACCATAGATCATCCAGCGATAGAATCCTGATTAACATGATGACCAACAACCTCCGATCTTATATATAAGCCAACATGATCAATGTATAGACGTTGCCATGTATCTGATGTCCTCTCGAAGGCATGATATAGCGACGGACAAGTTCAGTCGCAATGCATCCCCTTCATGATCCATCAATGACAAAGCCAAGATGTTGCATCGCCTCAAGCGAGGGAGGTTACTCAACTCCGCATCAGCAGTTGATGGAGAGATGGACGACTCAAACGAGCACGATAACCACCATCAGGTCGGAGATCGGCCCGTCGGCGGAGACGGCCAACCATGCGCTCGGCTTCCCAGGATTGGGTTGCCGGCTCCCCGCCGGACTCCATCCCCGCTCCTCCCCACACCCTGAGTCACTGCGTGATATCAAGAAGAGGGAGCAGTCGACCTGGCTTATCGCAGGCATAAATAGCTCTGCATCATGCTGCAGTCATGGCTCCAGAAATATTCATCCAGCTCTATGCCCTCGATTTATATTTGATCTACTCATACGGCTATCTATATCCTCTTCAATCATGACCAAGCAAGGTATACTCTGACCCAGACATTCATCAAAATGGCCATCAGCTAATGGGTGCCAGACACTGTCACTCACAGCTCCGTTCTCCACCGTGATACCCGCTTCGTTCCCAAGAAAGCCATCGGCGGTAAAGGCAGCTACATCTTCCTCGAGGATGGTACCAAGTTCCTCGACTCGACCGGTGGTGCCGCCGTCTCCTGCCTAGGCCATGGCCATGAGGAGGTCAGCCAAGCGGTGATTGATCAAATCAACAAGTTATCATACTGCCATACGGCTTTCTTTGGGACGGATGCATCGGAAGAGCTTGCTACCTTCCTTACCGAGTCGACTGGAGGCAAGCTGTCCAAGTTGCTCGTTGTGAATTCTGGTATGTTTACACACTTACTCTTCACGACCTCGCCAGACAAACACTTACATTCTCTCAGGCTCTGAGGCTGTTGAGGCCGCACTGAAACTAGCTCGTCAATACTTCGTCGAGCTACCCACCCCCCAACTACAACGGTCCAGATTTATTGCCCGAAAACCCTCCTACCACGGCGTCACCTTGGGTGCCTTGTCAGTTGGCGGACACATGATCCGTCGAGAGCCCTTTGAACCCATTCTATCAAACAACACATCCCACGTCTCGCCTTGTTACCCCTACCGAGGCAAGAAACAGGGCGAGTCCGACGCGGATTACGTTGCCCGGCTAGCAGCAGAGCTCGACGCAGAATTCCAACGTGTCGGACCAGAGAATGTCTGCGCATTCATTGCAGAGCCAGTTGTAGGAGCGGTAAGCAAGCAACCCTTCTAAAAATCAACATCAGCCCTCGATAGAACTACCTCTTCCATACAAAGCCCAGCAACTAACGCAAGCAACCCTCAAACTAGGCCCTAGGCGCCGTCCCCGCCCTCCCAGGCTACTTCCCCGCCATGAAAGCAATCTGCGAAAAGTATGGTGCGCTTTTCATCCTAGACGAGATCATGAGCGGGATGGGACGCTGCGGCACCCTCCACGCCTGGGAACAAGAGGACGTAGTTCCTGATATCCAAACTATCGGCAAGGGACTCGGAGGCGGATACGCACCTGTCTCTGGTATCCTCATCAGCGAGAAAGTCGTCGGAGCCCTCGACAAAGGCACGGGTGTGTTCCGACACGGCCAAACATACCAAGGCCATCCTATTGCGTGCGCTGCCGCGTTGGCCGTGCAGAAGGTCATCAAGCGGGATAACCTGCTCGAGAATGTCAGAAACATGGGTAAGTACTTGGAAGAAAGGTTACGGGGCAGCTTAGAGCAACATCCGTATGTGGGCGATATCAGAGGGAAGGGCCTGTTCTGGGGTGTAAGTTATTCTTCTCATTCCAAAGTTCTATCTACCATCAGTGTACCTGAGGTCTGGATGAAGACTAATATACCATGTATCTGCAGATCGAATTCGTCAAAGACAAAGAAACCAAAGAGCCATTCAGCCCTGACAAAGGCGTGGCCTTCCAGATCCAAGAGACTGGGTTGAAACCGGAGTACGGGGTGTCGTTGTACGCTGCTAACGGGACGGTGGACTGTATGAAAGGGGACCATATCATTCTGGCGCCGCCGTATAATGTTTCCAAGGAGGAGATCGATATCATCGTGGATACGGCGGTCAAGGTGCTTGATGTTGTTTTTGCGAAAGTTAATGCAGCTTAATGATGGGATATGGAATTGCTTGCGGTAGACTCTGCTGCTAAGGATACGTACGCAGTTGTTGCGATGGTGCATTGACTGATTGCATCAGCAATCAATGCGAGGGTCCGTCTGTCTTGTTGAAGGATGGAGGGTAGTCAACAGGATCCATTTCAAGGAGAATACAATTGATGTCTCTTTATAATACACAAAAGCAATAAAGCATCCGAGTAGAAAGAAAAGAATCAAAGCCACAGCCATCTCGGTCTCACGCAGTCCACGTCATCGTTTCAAGCCTGCCAATGCTGTCATCGCACCAATCTGTTAGCAACCCAGAAAGCCTTATATGCTTCATGGAGTTCATTAAGCTGAGCATCTGCTTGCATGAGATCCAAGTAGTCACCTGCATACCCAGCTGAAACCAAGGCATCTAGAAATTTGTTGAACCGTTCCTCAAATAAGTCGATTCCTATTCTCTTCTCAGAGGCCTTGACTGTAGCATGTCTTTCTAATACATTGATTGTCGGAATGTAGTCTTAATGTAGGTAAGGTCAGCCCCTGGATAAACAAAACGGGCAATACAGGAATGTCAATAGTGATCCGGCGGATATATTATATCAAAACTTACCGATCTTCTTAGCAAGGCTAGGATCAACCCCATAGAGAAGCACAAAGGTATCCCGACCATTGCATGGTGGGTGTACCTTTCCACCTTCATTGAGATAACGCGAATCTTCTTCATAAAAGTAGGCATCCGCCTTGAAATGGCCTCCATGGGCTCTTACATTTCCAATATGGATAAGTCGTTGAGTTTCAACCGCCGTATCATTCATAACATCTCTTCGGAACGAGGAGAGGAATCTGTTTCATGATACCGATGAAACCATTGCTGAATTGTGCGCGCGCCTGCTGCCCGAACTGATCAGATGCATGTTGAGATTCGGACAGTTTTTGTTCAGTTCCGGCCAGTCTTTGTTCAATTCCAGCCAGTTCTTGTTTAGTTCCGGCCAGTTCCGCTCCAAGCTTTTCAACATCCTTGCGGAGCTGATCAAGTTTTGAGTGTATAACAGGGATTTCAGTGTTTTGGAGAGCCAGCTTAACACCTGCGTGATTTCCTGTTATCATCTCGTCTCTCTCAGCTTCCACGAACAGTTCATCGCCTTCAAGGAATTCAGAAAGCGACCGCTTTGTAGCAGCAACCATATGAGACTCGGGCCCAAGATTTACTTGTTGACTGGGAAGCCGCGGTAGAAAGGTTGTTTGGGAAAGCACGTTGACACTGCGTCTTGGGAAGGTGTCGCTCCGATGGGGGTACTGCCGTTCTTAAAGGCGTGGGTCAGATAGTGAAAGGCTAAGAAACGCTGGAGGATAACACGTCGTAAAAAGTATGATTATGAGCTTTGAATAAAGGAAGTAGTAAGGTGAGAATGTGAGGGGTGAAATATATGTACCGGGAGGTAAGTAGATGATGTCTGCATTATGGTGTACCTACGTAGGGTACCGTATCCATAGGCGGGTACTGACGGGGATCTGATGAAATAGTACGGAAAGCTCTGTGATTCCGAGCAAGTGAAGAAGTAACACAGCAAGTGAATGTACAGTGAATGGTGATTGCAAACTTCACTTTTCTCTTCCCCCTTTCGTCCTTCCTCTGTCCTCTGGAACCATGTCGTCTCACGCAGTACTCCCCAAGGCTCAACATGAAATGATTAAGCCCTTGGATCAGGCTTGGCCTACAGGAAGGCTTACAGGCATGTCACTCTATTATGAGTTTCTCGTTTCTTTTGAGCTGTGCTAGGTATTTTGTTCAGTGAGGAAATAGTGAAGTTCAAGTGGAACATATCAAGAAGCTTAATTCTTTCTGCTTGGGTACTTCCCTTTTGCTTTCTGTCCACATATTACGCCCACTCTACTCATACTTCCCGTTTATCCACTTTTCCTTCTTCACAAAGAAAAACGCTCCAAGAAATCAAAAGGCCCTGCTCCTGCTGACTTTGAGATATACACAGACGAACGAGCAACCGCTGTAGTGTCGTCGAAAATCAATATTAAATTTCTGAATTCCTTGAAGCCGATGAAATGCCCGTGGAAGCTGTGAAAGACGAGATGATAACAGGAAATAATGCTGGTGTCGAGTTGACTCGCCAGAACGCAAGACTACCTATCCTAGAGACGAAACTGGCCAGAGAATGAGTGTTGAGTATACCCTTGGATTTGCTAAGATCCGAGGAAGATTTATTTCCAGCTACCGATGACCACATGGCCGATAATCAAAGAATTATCAGCCAAGGACACGCGAAAGCGCACGGCGGCCATCTCAATGCGGATGCTTACTTATACCGGGAAGAAGGCCGGTACATTGATGAAGATGGCATAGTGCATCCGCCACGATATGATACTGACACATTCCGATGTCTCTATGGTGTTGAGCCAAATATAGCGGAGATCATCAGTAAGTCTTGATGAACAAGTCCACCCTATCTCAATTGCAATTTCTGCATCCATCATTTAAGTCATGTATTGACCTTAACTACGTTAAGACTACACTCCAACTATTCAAGTTCTGGAGCGACACGCTACTATCGAAGCCTCCGACCACCTTGAAGCTACTGAAGTATTGAAAGCACGGTTTGACACGTTTCTACGTGCCTTGAAAGAGCCGGTTACCCCGGAAACTACCTCAATTTGATGTCTCCCGAGTATCATCACTTCAAGGAACTCCAATAGGCATACAGAGAATTCTGGAACGCGACCTAGTTGGTGTCATCAGCGTAGCTGATGGACACTATAGCGAAATGGGGACCCTGTGTTGTTGAACACTTTTGCTTTTTGCTCGAACTCTTCTTCTCATATCCCATAGCAAATGGCTTCAGCAGCACACAATTCTTAGCAGCAATGTTGACTACCCGCACAAATCCACACCTGACCCATCATTAAGCAGCATTGAAGCAGCAGCAGCAGCAGCAGCAGCAGCAGCAGCAGCAGCAGGAGGAGGAGGAGGAGGAGGAGGAGGAGGAGGAGGAGGATAATTCATATACCCGATATAGCCGGCCTTTACTAAATTAAGGTACTGGCTGGGAGGAAATAGTCACTATTTCAAGTGGAACATATCAAGAAGCTTATAGTTACATACACCAATTACAGATTCATATCACGCTTTAGCCTCAATCGCTGTCGCCTTCAATCCCGTAGAAGCATCCTGATCTTTGCTTTCTCCATTTGCGGCCACCACTGTAGCAGGCGCAGGTCCCTCTGCCCACATGCTCGCCACGGTTTCCACGGCTCGTTCGACGACGACGCGGACCCGATCCCTTAGCGCAGGGTTGGCGCACTCCACTTCCAAATCTTCCAGCCATATCCGAGCGATGTGCTTGTCGACCTTGATTTCAAGCCCGGGGAATGGAATCCCTAGTGCGTGGAGACGAGAGATCTCGGCTGCTTCTAGCTCTGTTAGGTCGTCTTCTTCTTCCTCTTCCTCCTCCTCTTCTTCTTCCTTCACAGGGGTCGACTTGTCGTCGGAGTCAACTTTGTCGGTGGTGCCATTGGTGATATTATTAGGGGGTAGGCGTGGGCGCTCGATGGCTGTGATTTCGGAGCCGAATTGTGCTTGAAGCATCATGAGGAGACGTCGGAAACGCTCTTCTGGTCCGACGTTGGAGTGGGGATTGGGAATTTGGTGGGCGTGGTCATCTTCGTGATGGTGGTGGTGATGGTGATGCTTGTGCTTTGCGGATTCTGTAGGATTCGTAGTTAGTAGGATGGTTCTTCATAGGTATTGTTATGGGTGGTTGCCACTTACGTTTCACTGACGCAGGGCTGCTCTCAACAGTCAGGAGGACCGCCATGACTGCATCAGCAACTCCGTCGTTCATCATGTTCCCTTCCCACTCAAGTTCAACTTCGCGAGTGCGAGGATAGTATCGGATGAGCACGCAACCCATGACCAGATAGGTTTGCGTATCTCCCATGGGGATTTCTTCATCGGCGGCTTCCTCCTTGAGTTTGTCTCCGTTGGCTTTGTCGAATTCATCTTCCTGTCCCTTCTTGGCAATTTCCTGCTGTGGTTTGCCGACTTCTTCAATGGCTCCAAAGGTACCTTCAAGAGCCCATTTGATTAGGTCCATGCTTGCAGAGCTTAACGTAATATGCTGCTTGCATGTAATGGCGGTGGTGGTCAAACCAGCATACTCGCGGAGATCATCGGGTGCCATCAAGGATAGGTTGAAGCCATTCTGGACAAGGACGCCGGACATGAGCTGGCCATCGTCTTGCTCCGAAGGTGGTGCGATCTGAGCCAATTTACCCACTACCTTTGCGATCTTGTCCTTCTTGAACGGGATGCGAACTTCTTCGCAATTACCCGGCGTGTAGACCTTGACTTTGACGGTCTTCTCGGCGTTGAGACTGAGCAGCTTCGACTTGAGTCGCATCATTTGGTGCTTTTCACCGTGGACAAGGATCTAAAGAGAATGAGTAATCCAAACATATTGTGACGGGAGGACTTTGGGGCTACATACCACAACAGGTGCAGAGACTTCCTCGATGAAATTTCTGTTCTCAACTCCATCTACATGGGCTGCGAAACTGACCTCATCCACTGTACATCTTCTGGGAATCATAACCTTCTGCTCTTCTTCATTTCCGGCAGCCATGCCTCGTCTCACCGATCCCGTCGTTGCTCTTGACATGACCGCAGGGATTTGCTCCGGTTCGTTCAGGATCTGCTTGGCCATCGTGCCCTCAACACTGTAGCCTGTCATGACCACACCATTGCGTTCGTTCGGGGCCCACCGCTCCAGAAGCTCCCTACTGGTTCCTGTCTGGAGCATACCTGGTGAAGCCAGCATAACACACCCCCCTACATCATCGAAACGTTCCAGGCTGCGCAAACTTCTGACGAATCTGAAGTCCCAGGGCCCTGCACTGACACTCTTGTCACCACTAGCTTCCGCTTCCGCCATACGCTGACGGAAGAGTCGCTTAATGTTATCGTTCATTGCACCTATATATGTTTGATACACGACCATACATCTGCGAGCCGTATTTCCGATATAATAGATAGGTATCTTCTGAAGTTCGGGATGTGTCTCCCAATATTCATCCAGAATCAGCAACAACTCCTGGGCGCGACCTAGGGCAAACACCGGCATTAAGACCCTGCCTCCGCGATTCAGGACTCCGGTAATGGCTTTCATAAGGGCGGCTTCACGTTCCAGGCGGGGGGGATTGGACGAAATGCCGAACGTCGACTCTGTGATAAGCACGTCGATTTTCACACCTTTGGGAACTTCGGCCGGGATCAAATGTCTGTCTTCTTCACGAGAGTAGTCACCGGTAAAGAGGATGTTGAGGCCGGCGATTGAAATCAGGAACATTGCCGCACCAAGGACATGGCCAGCAGGGAAGGGAGTAATGCGAATGCTATTGATGGTGTGCGTTGTGTTGAAGTCGATCGTCTCGATCAAGGGAAGCGTAGACAAATGGTCCTGCTCGGTATACAGAGTGGTGCGTTGATCCGAAGACGAGGCCGTGCTGCTCACACGCACATTGTCCTGAATCAACCATTTGTAGATGGCTTTGGTGGCGTGTGTCATGAATACACGGCCCTTGAAATTGGTCTTGCTGAGCACATAGGGGAGCGCGGAGGAATGATCAACATGGAAACTATGGGTTAAGTAGAGTATCTATCAGCCGACTGTCCGATTGAGATGGTCGAGCAAGAGTGAAATCGCAATGATGTAGCAGAGGCTGCGTTAAAAAGCACGGATACAGAGATACAACGCAAAGACCAAGATGAATAACTAGCATATATTGTATTGTGTCTCTCAGTACATGAGCAGATGCAGTTGCTATGATGGCAGAGTTCTTCTCTGCCACCATGCTGGGAAACCAAGGAGAGATGTGGTGTGGGATGCTATCCACGGCCATGAACAATCCCCGCATGCTCGGGGGCGACGGTGTAGGAAGGGTGACTAGGGGAACGCAAAAGAGAGACTGTCCCACATACTGGCTGATTAAAAGAATATCTACCGTGCTGAGGTCAAATTCGTCGAAGAAGGGCAGGGCTGAGAAGCCTTCTTTCGCAGGATGCATACCAGCGTCAAGCTAATGAAACCACAGTCAGTAAACAGTAGTTACAGCATTGGGTTGCGAATGACACACCATCACTGTTTTGCCCTTATACTGGATTATGTGACATGATCGCCCGACTTCATTTCCACCTCCTAGACAATAGAAAGCCAATTCATCCGTTGGATCGGCCGGCTCGTCATCCACCGCGGCATTTAAGGCCGATGCCTTTCGCTTTGTGGCCATGATTGGGAGTTTCGGATAAGCTACAGGTCGCGATTCGGAACTGATGAGAGTATGCAGCAGACCAGTACAGA